GAGACCCTCAGCAGCCCCAGGCTTTGGCCTCAGGTCTAAGCTGTGAGCCCTTGTGGAAGATGGGGACAGAGGGATGTGTGAGCATCTATGCTAACATAAAGATTAAAAATGGGTTGGGAGGGAGGGAGAGGTGCCAGGCCCTGCTTTGGTGCCTAAGAAGTGACAATTAGGACCATGTCCTCACCCTTGATCCTCATGGCAAGGTGGGGTATCCCACACATGCACCAAAGATAATAACAGGACCATATAGGGACATCCCAAGGATGGCTCCTATCCCAGGGGACCAGCTCAGGGTCAATGCTGAGGTCCTTTCCCTCCTCGAAATGATGGGGTCAAAACAGAGCCCAGAGAATTAGGGCAGAGAGACTGCGTCTAGGATTAACTTAGGAGCAGGAAGGAAGTGGCACTGATTTCAATTGCTGTGTGTTGTCCTGTCATCAGAGTGGATTGGAGAATAAAGCCAGTGGCCAATTGACTCATGGTCCAGAGACTCCTGGGCAGGTGTATGGGCTCAGCTCCTCCTCCTCACCGGGGTCATCACTGGCTGATGCCCATTGACTGAGGGTGGATGAGGGCAGGATGCTAACCAGAAGCACAGAGGCTCTGCACAGGGAATGACTCGGAGGGAGTCCACGTCCACAATGAAACTTTTTTTAATTGTAAGTTGTCATGAATTTCTTGGAAATGAGAAACAAGGGCTGAGTTGGTATTTAAAAGGGGGAGCAGAGAAAGAGGTTCTGGACCCCCTTTCTGGTCCCCAGGCACATAGTAAACAATCTTACAGTTTGCTGGGGAAAGGGGGTGGGAAGGGATAAATTTGGGAGTTAAGGATTAAATGTTAGCCACTATATAGAAAAACAGAGGTTTTCAAGTTTCTTGTACATAGCACAGCAAACTATGTTCAATATCTTGTAATTGTAACCTTTAATGAGAAAGAATATAAAAAGGAATGTGTTTACATATATGCATGACTGGGACGTTGTGCTGTTCACCAGAAATTGACACATTGTAACTGACTGTACTTTAATTAAAAAAATAAAAAACCTCTATGGTTACTCTTCTATTACAACCAAAGTTAATAAAACATCAATTCTCTTTGAAATACAAATAAAGTAGCCGGTAGATAAAGTGATGTGAGCGGGAGGGGATTGGAGGGATCTGGGTCTGAGCTGGGAGGGGAATAAAGCGGAAGGCAGAAGAGCAGAGCTGGGGGTCAGCCCCCCCGCCGCTGCCTTCCTGGCCTTGGTGGGCGCCATCTGAGGCCACCAGGGGGCAGCAAGAGCCTGGATTTGAGAAAGTTCTTGTGTGATTTCCCTAGCCCTGGTGAAGGCACATAGCTGCTGCCTCCTAAGCTCCCACAAGGAGAGGACTTCCCTTTCCAAGAAACACCAGTAAATGTCCCCAGGCCTTTTCCTAAGAGAACCACAGAGATAGGGGACAGAGAGACAAGCGGACCATTCTGCTGAGGAGGTCAGGTGGGGCGAGGGGTGCACAACCCCAGCTCTCCTTTGATCTCAGGATGAGAAAAGATTGAATCTCTAACTAATTCCAGCACTTCTGCCCAGTCGTTACTTTTGACCCACAGAATACAAAATAATTATCGTGATTATTAGTCAACGACATCTTGACTCTATCAGATGACAGGGACAGCCAAGGATGGCTTGATTTCCAGGTCCGTCTAATGGTCACTGTGTCCTAAGTAACAAAAACATATCACACAGTATTAATATTCCTACATTGGCTCTGTGTAGAGGGATAGAGAACTATCTAGAACCAAATACAGGTCAGGGGGTGGGGAAGCAGGGGCAGGAGCAGATTTACATGGAGGCCACGCCCACCTCTGCAGCTCTGGGGGAGGGAACAAGAGAGGTCTGGGGGACAAGGACCAAGGTTGGGGGCTCAGAACACAGCGTTCTGGGGCATCTCCACCATGGCCTGAGTCCTGCTTCTTGTCACCCTCCTCACTCAGGGCACAGGTGAGCCTCTGGGGAAGGGACATGGGGACATCTGGCTGATCCTTAGCGTCTCTGTCCTCAGGGTGACCTGGGGCACAGCCCTGAACTGACCCGAGTGTGTTTTTGCTCTTTTCAGGGTCCTGGGCCCAGTCTGCCTTGACTCAGCCTCCCTTGGTGTCCGGGACTCCGGGACAGACAGTCACCATCACCTGCGCTGGAACCAGCAGTGACATCGGGGTTTACAGTGATATTTCCTGGTACCAACAGCTCCTAGGAATGGCCCCCAAACTCCTGATTTATTATGTCAGCAATTGAGCCTCGGGGATCCCTGATCGCTTCTCTGGTTCCAAGTCTGGCAACATGGCCTCCCTGACCATCTCTGGGCTCCAGTCCGAGGATGAATCTGATTATTACTGTCCCTCTTCAAGAAGCAGCAACAATGTGCACAGTGGTCCACGTTCATGGGGAAGTGAGATCACAACCTGCCCTGAGCTCACTCAGCTCTTCTCTCTTGAACTCAGGATCTCATTTGTTTTTCATGTTAGCTTTTTGGAAATAATTATATATTTAAATGAAACTGAAAAGATTTCATGAAGAACTCGTGCACAAGCATTTCCCAGGTGCACTAGTTTGTAACGCTTTCCCACAGTTGCTTTTTGGATATCCCCTCTCCTCTCTGTCTCTGCATTTGTGTGTCTAGATGCACATCCATTAACATGCGTACACGGCGCACACTCACCAACACAGAACACTTATTTTCGGAATCACTGGGGAACATCTTCTATCTGTCAGCATCCAAGCCTTCATATTCCTTCTTAAATACACTTCAGAATCCATAAGATACATCATTTGAGGTGAATAAATCAAGGGTTTTTAATATATTGACACACTGGAACACCCATGAACACCCTACCTAACAGAGTATTTTCATCCTCGTAAAACAATGACTTCATCCATCACCGTCAGTAACCTTCCCCGGTCCCTCCACCCTACAGACCACTCACGTGCTTTCGGCCAGTTCTAGATTTTTCACGAATGCAGTCATATCCTACATGGTCCTGTGTGTCTGGCTTCTGTCCCCTTTTCCAGTACTCTGTGATGGAGCTGTGGGTCCAGGGTAATCACATCTTGATAGTTTTGTTTAACCCCAATCTCTGCCCAGCTGAGTTCGGGTGGTTAATTCCACCCAGCTTTGTGGGAACACTGTGCTTTCTACATCAGTTCCATTTACAAAAACGTTGACCTGCTTCTTGAATGCGTCCTGTGAGTGAGCTGCACAGAGGCCCGTCTGGGACCTGAGTGGTTTTCTATCCCTTACGTCCCCCCGCTAAAGTCTTTCCTGTGCTATTTGCTGTCAGAATCCATGCAAGTGTGGCTCAGAGGGCAGCTCAGGCTTCATGAACTATTTTCATGTTAACTTTCCTAGCGAACCTCCCCCCACCATCTCCTCAGTCTTCCCTGGACCTTGAGTTTACTTCTCTGTCCTCCGGATCAGAAACTGTGACATTAGTTCCCCTAATCTCTTGTCCTCTTCCTGTGACAGACCTGTGTCCATGTCAAGGAGCAGGAGGACAGAGAGGACAGAAGCAAGGGGGATGCTCATCCCCTGGGTGGGAAGACAGCTTCTAAATCATAGGGAATGGTCCTTCTGCCTCCAGCAGCACTGCTGCCCAGCTGGGGACAGGGACCTGTGAGTGTCCCGCAGTGGCTCTGACACTGGAGCTCTCCTTCTCGCCTTGCCCACATCAAGGGAAGCTGTCAAGCAGCTCTTCTGTCTCAGGCTGGAGCCCTTCCACCCTCAGGCTGCCTGATTCCAGGGAAAAATGGAATTTCACCCAACCTGAGTTCAATGACCTTCCAGTCCCGGCGTCTTCCCCAGTCTCCTCTGATGATACCTTTTCTCGGTACCCAAGTAGCTCCTCCATGACTTCTGTCTGGGTTTTATAGGTGCATTTGGTGGGAGAAAAAAAATGTGTATTTACTACATGTTATGTGAAATCAAGATGCAATAGTACAGTTTTAAATTTGGTAAAACTGAAGGAGTCAGAACAACTGTGGGAGGAAAATGGGAAAGATGAGCCTGAGTTTTAAAGCCCTGAAGGAGAAGAACCGGAGGAAATATTTCCCAGTGGTCTTCAGTGTTCCTGGGTTCGGAGGGCACTTCTGTCTTGACCTGGGGACGTGGGAAGGTGGAGCGTACAAGCAGCAAAATCACATCTTGTGACCAGAGCAATAACACAACAATGAAATGAGATGAAATCCTTGACCATCACTTGCATAATAAATGTCACAGCTGTGGGCGCAGAAACAGCCCTTTCTCCCAGCTGCTCTCTCCTCTCATTCATCTCCTGTGAGGTCAGGACACTGGCTAGTGGGCTTGTGGATCTCATGTCGCCTGTGAGAATCAAAAGAGGAAAAAGACAGTGCCCTGCGCAGAGGGCAAAGGGCAGAACTGGGAGAGCAAGCTCGGAGTCAGGATGTAGCTCCTGCCTGGGGTCCCCTGTTCCTCCTGGGAGGCCTCACACGTGTGCACCTGGTGCTCAGTGGCACCTGTGGGGGTGGCCTGGGGGTCAGTGATCTGCTCATGGATTTGATGTGGCAGATGCTCCAGAACGAAGGGGTGGGGGTGGGGAGGTGAGCAGGCTGCCACCCAGAACCCAGCAAACAGCAGGTGTTTCCCTGAGATGGGCACTTCCTTTACCAGAGTACAGACTCTGCGGAGTGAGCATCCAGCAGAGGGCACTGCAGAGTGTCCCCTGCACAAAGGGTCCCAGAGACACAGTCCCATCCCAGCAGGGACATAGAAGGTCCAGAAACACGGTAAGCAGGGCCACAGCTGGACTTTTTCTCCCCTGCAAACCAGCTAAATACAATTCATGTTTCTTATTTACACGACATCTACGGGTCAAAGACTTTAATCCCCTGATCAACATAACCTTCCAGGGATGTAGAGAATCTAGTGGCCAGGGCCAGGTTAGGGGTGGGGGAATCAGGGGCAGGAGCAGATTTGCATGGAGGCCCCGCCCTCCTCTGCAGCAGGGGGAGAGGATAAGAGAGGTCTGGGGGACCAGGCGCAGGGTTGGGGGCTCAGAAGGCAGCGCTCTGGGGCATCTCCACCATGGCCTGGGCTCTGCTCCTTGTCACCCTCCTCACTCAGGGCACAGGTGAGGCTCCAGGGAAGGGACACGGGGACATCTGGCTGATCCTTTGTGTCTCTGTCCTCAGGGTGACTTGGCGACCAGGCCTGAACTGACCTGAATGTGTTTATGCTCTTTTCAGGGTCCTGGGCACAGTCTGCCCTGACTCAGCCTCCATCGGTGTCTGGGACTCTGGGAAAGACAGTCACCATCTCCTGTGCAGGAACCAGCAGTGATGTTGGGTCTGGAAACTATGTCTCCTGGTACCAGCAGCTCCCAGGAACAGCCCCCAAATGCCTGATTTATCAGGTCAATAAACGAGCCTCAGGGATCCCTGATCGCGTCTCTGGCTCCAAGTCTGGCAACACGGCCTCCATGACCATCTCTGGGCTCCAGTCTGTGGACGAGGCTGATTATTACTGTGCCTCATATAGAAGTGGTGGCACTCCACACACTGGTCCACGTTCATGGCGAAGTGAGACCAAAACATTCTCTGAGCTCACAGGCTCTCTCGTTGCTCAACAGATGCTTCCACACCCTGAGCAGCAGGCTTATGCAGCTCGGCCATGAAATGTCTGGACATCTCTCTCCTCGCGCAGTGAAGGTGAAGGAAACATGCACCCTGCATCATTCCCTTGGGAGACTAATCGCTTCCTCTTCCCTGGAGAAATGTGTCCCAAATGGGCCACTGTTTCCAGGTCTTCATCAGCAGTGTGATGGTTAATGGTCCATGTCTTCCTGCTGTGGGTAAGAGGTGCCCGTGCTGCTGTGAAAACACCATGGCTCGATGTGTCTGTGAGGCTGTGTCCAGAGGAGATTAGCACTGGAATCCATCGACTGAGTCAAGAAGATCACTGGTTCCAAAGGCGGTGGGAAGGGTCCCTGAGTGGAGGGTCTGAATAGAACAAAAAGGTGGGGAAGGGGCGTGTGCTCCCTCCACGTCATCAGAGACGTCGTCCTCTCCTGACCTGGGGCACTGGCACTGCTGGGTCTTCAGATGCTGAACTCAGACCAGAACTTACATCACTGGCCCTCAAGTCACAGGCCTCTGGACTCAAACTGAATTAAATCACTGGCTTTCAGGGTTCTCTAGCCCTCTCCGGGGGGCCCCTCCCCTCCCAAGTGCAGGGTTATGGTCATGGCCAGCAGAGTCACAGTGGCCATCAGAGCAGTCTGACGGGCACAGAGCAGTGACCCTGGCTTGCTGATTGACGTGTTCCTAGGGGTGAAATAGGCAGGAAGCGGGCTGAATACTTACTTGGGCTTATAAGGAAAACACGTGTAGGTCCAGTGAGCAAAAGTTTAACTCAAATCACAAAGCGAGTCACAGCCCCTCAGTCAGTGGACTCCGAGCCTGGAGCCAGTTTACAAACCCAGACCCCCATGAAGGAAAGGGAGGCTTCGTCCCCTGGAGGAGGAACTCCGGTGCATCACTGAGAATTCATACTGTTGGTCTCTCTCCCAGGCTTCCCCAAAGGCACAAATAGCCTTTATCGGGGAAACTGTGCTTTGGGGAAAAGGAAATAATCAGACTTTTCAGGGACTACTGAACGCAGTTGTGAACTCACATTGGTTTTGGGACCCGCAGACCTCACCGTGGCCCTCCAGTGAGTCAGGGTTTCTGGAGATCAGCTGAACAGTGAATGGTGTTTTATCTCAGATCTGTCTCAAAGTGGCTCGAGTGGGTCCCTGAATCCATCCTATGGTCATTTCTCCAGTTCCAGAATATAGTTACCATGTGTCCCGAAATGTCCGCCATGAACTGGGTGCCATCTGAACCACTGCGCCCCCGGCAAAGAGCGCAGCACAGGTGGGCGGCCGCGCTGCTGCGGCCCCGCTCGGGGCGTCCTCCAGGGACACAGTGAGAGGACACCCTCCGTGGGCAGCACTTCCGGCAGTGCACCTGGTTGCAACTTTTGGAAGGAGAAATGGCAGAGCATGCAATTATACATTTATTCATGGGTTTAGCTGGATGGTCAGGGACTTGGAAGAAACATGATAGGAAAGTTGGTCAAAAAATTAATTCAGTGAGAGGTATGTGGGTAGACCTCTCCAGGCAAAAAAAAAAAGAAGAAGATATTTTGTCCACTGTGAACGCTGTGTTTGACTTCAGCAGAGGAGGACTTGTAATCAAGGGGCTAGAATGACTCAGTCTGCAAGTCCCAGACAGCATCTTTCCCCAGCCTCCTGTCTCTTCATCCCACGGCCTCATGAACAGGTGTCAATGGTGACCAGGCCAGAAATTATGCAAGGACTCAGCAACGGGGGCACCACAAACCAAGACTGACCCGACAGTCCAAACAGATCTGCTCATAGCCCAGACCCTTAGGGAATGAAAGCATGAGTCACCACCCCCACCCAAGGTCAAGAACCATGAGGAGCTGAGACGCTTGCGGAAGGCGAAGGGAACAGAGTCTGAGCAGCAGCAGGAGGGGGCTGTGGCTCCCAGCTGTGCCTGC